TACTCGTAATTTTTAAGACGGAATTTGCTGCTCTTTTTTCGCTTTGGAATTAAGATGGCAACGATGACCACGACGACGATGAGGATCAACAGGAGTAATACACCACCAGCAGAACTACCAATGATGATGTAATCCTTGTCTGCGAAATCCGTAGAGTTGTGTAGACAAATTCCCTTACTGTAATTCAAGTAATTTGGACACTGGCACAGACTGTTTTTGCAATACTGTTGATTGATCTTTTTGATCGAATAACTTTGGTCGTCGTATAGATAGTTGTAGTGAGGGCCAAACAACCCACCCACCCACACACTGTTTTTAGAAAGACACGCGGAATAGCCCATATATGCATTCTGATGATTGCCATATAAATGGAGGATTTCCCTGAATCGCACGACTTCACTTGAATCCAAAACAGCGTCGAAAATTACATACGCGCCACCACAATAAGACAGATCGTCTGTACTATACCCTGGTGTGCCGAAGAGAATAATCTGTCCGTAGGAATAAATGTTCTCAAATGGTGTTTTATCGAGTGGTTTAAGGAAGTCGATTTCATTTTCGCGATAAAACGGGACAATAAGAGTCGAATAAGTTTCGTAGTTTGACTTCTTGTCGAAGACATAGACTATATTTTCATCGGAGACTGGGACATACACACTGTCGTCTCTTGTTATTTTAATTGGGTCATATATAAACGTCTCTGAGTGGTAAGCGTCGGGCACTGATATGTTTTTGTAGAGTTCAACGTGCCCATACGAGTAATATTCATCTTCGGTTAGATAGTACCGGTAAACTTCAACTTCTTTTTGTCGCTTCATTGCGATAAAACTAGAACCTGCATTTAAATAAGTTCCACATTTATAATTAGTTTGGATTTTTTGAGTTAACGTCTCGATTTTTATACCTGCTAATTTCCCGTTTAAACAGGTAAAAAGAGTGTCAAATTCCTTTGTGTTATCGACAGTGTAATGGTGAAATGTCATTGGTGCTAATTCGTCAAACTGCCCGTCTAAGACTGAGTCCAACGTAACGGCTGGAGGGTCTGAGACTATGTCTATAAGTCGCAGTTCTTTGTCGTGTAACAACCAGACTGTTTCCCTCATGTCAATAATCTGAACGCGTTTGACTTCTGACACATTGAAGATAAAAGTCCTGTTTTGAACGATTGATAAACTGGACTCGAAGGTCAAGTAACTCTTGTCGTCTCTTTTAAAAAAGACTGGAAGGTTTCTTCGTTGTTCATTGTACTCGTTGTACCCGATGTAAATAAAAAAGTCTGAAAGTGTTTCATTAACACTGGAAAAGTCGACCTGTACGAGCCTTGCTAAAGTTAAAGACACCACACATAAGATGATGAACATCTGTTTAATTGTTCTATATTGAAACTATAAATCAAACAGAGTCTATTCTGCACTTGTTGATAGAGACGTTGATATTCTATTATAATCAAATTATTCCGTCTTGGTCTTGGAAATATAATAATATAACCATAATCACACATTTAAAAATATTTGGTGCGGATTTGTATCTTTCTTTTGTTCATAAAGCGCTTTAAAAACAAACAAATGCGATCTGTTTGTCGGGACTTTTCGATCTTTTCATCGTCTTTAGTTTTTTTAACTGTTCTTTTTTGTTTGTTTATAGTATATTATACTATTATATATAGCTCAAAAACAAACTGAAGAGTGTTTCGTAGTGGTAAATCAGATAAAAATGAAATCTAAAATTTATTACAAATCAATTTAAAATTAATTATACACATCGACTTTTTTTGTCGAGTTGAAGTTAACATAATGGTTAAAAAATACAAACTTTTGTAAAAATATGTATTGTTGATTTTAATTGTGTTTTTGTTTTTATTAATTGACGAAAAAATAGTTCAAACCAATAATGTTAGATTATTTTTTTAAAACTTTTTATTAAAAAACAACTATGATATATCAACATATTATTAATAAAAATAACATTAAAATCAATTATTTAACATTGTATTTAATAGTTGTTTGTATTATATATATATTAAAATAATACAATTAATGTTATTGATTATACAAATCAGTACTAAACCCCAATAGTTATCTAAAAACCCCTCATGTCGTCAATTGATTGGTTAAAACCAGAAAAAAATATTTTATATTTAGAAACAACATTTTCAGATAACGATTGTAAGTCAACTCCACAAACGCGTTCTTTAAACTTGTTCTCCGGCGTCACTTCTTACAATTTTACACGAGACGCGATTTGTTATGATCATGTATTGAACAGTTATAAACAAATGTATTTTTTTATAGTTTTTAATTTTATGTTTTTGTTTTTGTTATACAACATTTCTTATTGTCCAATTTTTTATCGTACTTCTTCGGGATAACGTCGTAATTGATTTACTTTAAGGCTTGAGGTGTTTAAGACAATTTGATGGGTTTTACCATACTTGTATAACAATAATTATTAAAAACAGTCTAGAAACCTTTTATATTTCAAAAATAGGATATTTTTTTGTTATTCAGTTTTGTTTTTCAATTATATTTATTTAATTAAAATCTTAATTTTTAACCCTTCAAAGACAGAAAAAACCAAAATTTGAAAAAAACCCAAATTCTTAGTGAATTTTAATGTGACCTTTTTTCTTTATTTTTTTCAAAAAAGCTAGACACCTTGGTACGACGGCTATAGTAAAATTTTATGGTAAATTTTTATAAATTATAGTAAGAAAAGTAATTTTTTTGTTGAAGTGGGGATGAACAAAAATTTACTTTTTGCTTGATTTTTTCAGAAACAAGTCACAGTTCAAAAAAAGTCAGATCAAAAATTTATTGAGATGACGACAACTTATTTTTATTAGAGAATTAACTATAAAATATAACAAAGACCAAACTGTAACGTAAAACATACTGGTCTGACATATTCAAAATCAATTACATCATAAAATAACAAAGAAAAAATAATCAATCATAGACTTTGAGGTGTCTTGAAATTTCAATATGCAATTGATCTCAAAAAATAACATTTAAACTACGGGAAATTGATTTTAATATCTTATGTGCATATACATAAGCCACAAGTCGGAACCTAAAATTGTTGTAAACTGTGATATTTTCTTAATTTTAGTATTTTTTAAAGTTTTAGTTTGATTGACATGTTTACACACTAAAAAGTTTCCACGTTTTAAATTAGGCTGTTTTCAAATGAAAAGTGTAGCAATAAACAGTATAACAATACACACCAACTGTTGTTATTAAATTATTGAAAATTATTATTAAATAGGTGTCTCTATTCAATTTTATCATTAATGTTGTTGTGTTAATAAAAAAACACGTTTACTATTGTGTGTTGTAATACAAAAAACAATGAAACGAAAGTTTTAAAAACAATTAAAAATTTTATCTTTTTTTTGTGATTTAAAAAACTGTTGAATGAAAATAGTGAACATCGACTTAGTTACACAATTAAATTAATAACAATTCTGTATATTTGATTTTTCTTTGTTTCAACAAAACGTCACATGAATTATATGTATGTTGCAATCAATGTTTATGAATAAAAATGTCACTAACAATCATTTTCAACTGGAAATTACATTCAACAATTATATTTGTAATAATATCATTGTTTTTTGTTGTTTATATTTAAAAGTTTAACAATGTTAATAAATATGTTATGTGAATAATTAAAAACGCCACTTGTTTAAGTTTGAAAAGAGATTCTAATTTAAATGTGTTTTTTGTTTTTAATTGAGAAGTAACCTAAATATCTTATAGTTAGTTAACCATATACCCTGTTAAGTAACTGAACTATAGTTGACTTACAAACTATATTTTAACTA